TGACCGTGGCTCCGTGCCCCACGGATGGCAGCACACCCGTGGCCCAGAGCCGAGCCGCCCGCTGTCGTCCTGCTCCCTTCTGCAGTGCTCGAACGCTGGCCTTCTTTCCGTGCATGGCCTTCAGGCGTCCCTTCTGCACGGCCCTTGTGGCCGACGACCCAGCTAGGTCGTGGCCAAGATACCGCATGTGCCTCTTGCCAGCGATCTTCAGCAGCCTGGCGTACTTCTGAAAGTGGTAGCTGGTGCGCCTGGACGTCGTAAGGTGCCCAGACTTATCCATCTGCAGCACCAGCCCGAGGGGCCGGACAGCCCTGCAGAAAGCACGAGTGGCAATGGCCATTTCTCGCACCCCGCTCGGGTCGTTGCCGACCCAGCACAGCGCGACGTCGTCCACCAAGTCCTTGGGCTGAACCTGAGGAGCGACCGACATCGTCTGGCGAATGCTGCGAGTCAACAACACCATGAGAAGCGTAGTGGCGTGGGTGCAGCCTGCCAGGATGCCCTGATACGCCCTGCGCGCCACTGAATACGAAGAATACGAGTGCACCGAGCGCAGCTGCTGGTACATCTGCACAAGCATGAACGCCATTCGCATAGGGTATCCACTGGCCCTGCACTCCAACAAAATGGCATCATGCCTGACCAGCTCGTAGCATTTGAGCATGTCCAGCAGCACAATGATGGCGTCGTCATCGCACAGGGTCGCCATCTCCTTGGTGAGCGCCAAATCAAAGGCCGCATCACTCGACGACTTGCCTCCAGTGTGGCCCCAGACCTCTGGTAGCGCATGGGCCTTCTCCCACGCTGCCGAGACAGGCCGCCTCGCCCGTCCCCAGATCCTGACCAGCGTGTTCATCAGCACAATCAGGCGCTCCCCACCCCCTGGCTTGGGGAGTCTCACGAGCTTCGAGAGGAATCTGCCGTCTGGCCACAGCAGGAGGTGCTCGCACCGCTCGAAGAGGCGCGCCATAGCCGTCAGCGCCCCGTGGGAGAGGTGCTCCATGGCCCTGGGCGCGATGTTGATCTGCCCGACGCCTGTCTGCCAAGAGAAACAACGGATTGCCTTGAGTACGTCGGCCGCCTCAAGCCTTGGCAGCTGCTCCCAAGTGTCAGCATCAACAGGTCGGCGAGCCAGCTCACCGCCATGCCGCACCCAGAAGCTTTCCCAATACTCAAGCTTACGATCAGCCAGTACGTACCCATGTTGTAGCCCATTGCCTCCGTCCACGATCTCCTGGAGAGCCTTGGGCTTCATGAATCGGTGAGCTCCCTTGGCTCCAGCCGCAAAAGCTGCCTGCGCCCACTGCCTCCAGCTCTGCATCACGGCCTTCTCATGCTTGGCCTCAGCATCGGAGGAGATACTCAGGATGCGGTCGACCTGCTGCTCGAAGTCTGCCTGCGCTAAGGCAAGTATGCCACGCGAGAAGAAGCCGACGGCTTCGGCGTCCAGGTGCGGCCAGACTCCCTTCCTCCGCCAGATTCTCTGGAAGAAATTCTCGCACTCCAGCAGGTGGCGCGCCGCCTTGGAGTGCACGGCGTCCCACGATAGGTCCTCGCCTGCCCGTCGCGGGGGCTGGTGTCGCTGAGCTCTCGACCGAGGCCGACCACCATCGGAGGAGAGACCAGCCACTCCGACGACCTCCGCAGCAGGGGGTGCCCCATCGCCCAGGCCAGGCACACCGTCGACGTGCGCCTCGCCGACGCTGCCGAGCTCGAAGACCTGCTGCGGGCGTAGCTGGAGCACGAAGCTCTGCAAGGCCACTCGAACCCTCCTGAGGTGACGAGCCCAGCGCGCAGCCTGCGCCCAGGCCTGGGTGTCCGCCGACCTCCTGCTCCAGGCACCTTTCACGACAGGGTGAAAACTCGCCAGCTCGAAGGTCGGGGGGCCTGGCACCGTGGAGTACCCCGCCACGTCCTTCACGACGTCGTAGCGGCCCCGCAGCTCGAACTCGATGCCGCTGAGCACGACGTCCCAGGCCCTGGTGATGCCCTCGCTGTGCGACGCGCTCTGGATGATCGCCAAGGTCGGGTCCCAGTCGGGGGGGAACCTCGCGCACCCCGCCGCAGGCGGCCTCCGAAAGCCGCGTGGCTCGACAAGCCTCCTGACCTTCGCGTCAAAAGCCGTGGCGGAGAGCTCCATGGTCACTGGTAGATGCGGCCACGTCTCCGCGTCGACGACCACTGGTTGCCGAACGCGAGGCAGCAAACGGCAAGAAACCATGAACATGTCAATGGTGCGGCCAGGAAGGCTCTGAAGACAAGTCGGCTCTCTCGGCGCCAGCACCACGCCATTGGCCGACTGGAGCCAGGACAACGGGCCGAGCTCGCCTACCTCCATGTTGAAGTCGCCTCCTACGATCCACGGAACACCCATGGCCTCCAGCGACCTGACATACTGGTACAGCTTGTACAGCATGGCCAGGTTCTCGGGCGACAGCTTGACGTCCACAATGAAATAGCACGACAGCATGACGAAGCCGCCCTTCACCCCAGCGTGGACGTGGGCCGCCATCATCCTGCCTTCCTGCAGCACGTGACTGTCCAGGCCTGGGGGTTTGGTGATGACCACCCGCAGCGGGGCCAGCACCGCAACCCCGCCTCTGCTGCCAACTCCCTGCCCAGGTAGGGCGGGCTCCCATATACCATGGTACCCAGCAGCTCTTACTTTATTCTGCAACTTCGCCAAAGCATCGCCCTCGGCCTTGGCATGATGTTCCTGCACCGCGATGCATAAACTCGAGCACGTGGGCAGGAAGTCGACGAGCGGGCCGCCCGAGGACACGTTCACGGTGGTGATACTTGAAACCGACGCCATGGTGCGACAAAGGAGGACGAACCACACAAGACACGCAAAACATCGCCGTGGAGCCATGCTAGGCAGGGGTGAGCCTGGGCCTCTTGACCTTGGCACCCCAACGCATGAAGATCTCCTCCAGCCTGTGCTTCTCGCCCCCAGCCGCAACGACTTCCTCCATGAACTCAGGGTCGTCGGAGAAGGCAGATGGCTGTGGTGTGCGAGGCGCTGCCGCGTCGTCCTGCCGCTCGGCCTGCTCGACGTCGGGACCAGCCTCGGCCCCAGCATCCGCCTGCGCCTTCTGGGCAGCCAACTTTGCCGCCTCCTCCTCCTGCAACCTCTGCAGCTCCTGGAAGCTCGCCGTGAGGCTGCCCGACAGCTGGTGATCGGCGCCCAGGCTCTGGAGCAAGATCCCGAGGCCCTCGAGCGTGGCACCAACCCCCTTGATCGGCTCGTCGAGCGACGCCTTGTCGCCAGGCGTCGGAACCTGCCCTTGAAGCCTCTTGCGCTCCTGGTCCAGCTCCTCCATGCTAGCGTCGAGGGCCGCCAGCTTGTCCCGAGTGAGCCGTTCCTTCTCCTGCAGGTCGCGCAACTGCGCCTGCAGCCCATCGAGCTTGGTCTGCTGGTCGTCGCGCAGCTTCTGCAGCCTGGTGAACTGAGTTCCCATCTCGCGCAAGCGCTGTCCGAGCGGTCGGGACTCCGCCACCCTAGCCCGCAGCTCGGCCTGCTCGGCCAGCAGCTTGTCGCGCGTGGCCACGACCGACGGCTCGGTGATGCCCTTGAGCTTGCCGATGAGGTCGCCGACCTCGCGTAGCCTGTCCTTGGCGACGGACTCGGGGCCGTCTCCGTCCGCGGCCGGCTCCATCTGCACGTCCTCCCCGCCAGGCGGCGGCCTCTGCACAGCGGCAAGCCGCTTGCGGGCCTCGGCGAGCTCGGACTTGAGCTTGGCCACCTTGACGGAGTCGTCCCAGTAGCCGTTGCCGCTGCCGCCCTGATTGCCCTTCTTCCGCTGGGAGGGGGCCGCGGGCTGGCGCACGCTGTGGAAGACCAGTCCCTTGCCCAGCTTGCACTTCGCACACTGCCGCGCCTCTGCATGATTCCACCACGGTCTCCCCGAGGGCCCGCAGCAGCTCTTGCAGTACCAAGGAAGCGCCTGCTCCGAACGGTAATGCGGCGGTGGCATCTCCACGACACCAGGCAGCAGCACACACGGTGGGCCGTGGCAGCGCGATCTGGAAAGGACTGGGTGTGGGCGCCCAACTCCCACGGTGAAGGCGAACGGTGGTCTGGCCGCGGACTAGCGGTATCCGTGCGGTCCCCAGGGGAACCAATCATCTTGAGCCAAAATGGCTACGGAGAGGAGGAGGAGGAGGAGGAGGAGGAGAAGGAGGAGGAGGAGGAGGAGGAGGAGGAGGAGGAGGAATAGGAGGAGGAGGAGGAGGAGGAGGAGGAGGAGGAGGAGGACGAGGAGGCGGAGGAGGAGGAGGAGGAGCGGGCGGGCAGGCACCGAGGGGCTGTCCTCCTGCACGAATCCCACGGAGCTGCGGCCGGCCGGCTCGCCGTGAGGGCGCGCCAGCCCGACCACGCCACACGCATTCCGCCACAGAGAAGCAAATCAACGAGTCGTGCTGCCATGTGCGCTGCTGGCCCTTCCTCTTGGCCACTGGTGGCAGCGAAAGCGGCGAGACTTTACGTCGGCGGCGAGGCAGCGGCACACTGCACCAGCGGGAAGCGATTCGGGGCAACAGAAGGGCGACTTTTCCAGCATGCAGGAGGAGAGAACAGGACAGACAGGGCGGCCGAAGGGGCACTCAGATGTGGAAGAGTTCCGCCCCGAGCGCGCTAGCGCAAGAGGGCGGCGAAACGCCATACATCAAAATTCAACGGGCCCTCCGGGCACCCCTCGGCCACCCGCGGGCTGGGTCTTCTGGCCGACTGGACAGGAGAAGGGAGGATGAGGAGGCCGAACCTCCATGCTTCGGGTGAGCCTGACTTGGGCAGAGTACCGCGATGGCTTTGGACAAGGAACGATTGGATAAAGAATCCAGGGTCTGGAGCACGGTGAAACTCCAATCGTGGATTGGCAGTGGCTATCACCGCCGCCCTCCTCAGATAAGGAATGTTCCAGGGTCTGGAGCCTCCTGGGCACAGCCCTCAACCAACGCCTCCACCGCACGCAGCGACACGAGGCCGGGCGCGGACACTCTTTCCTGCGAGGTGCAAGGCAACGCGATCCTGTGAGTGTGTTCGTGCGGCCCTGGCGCGGAGCGCCGCCGGAAAAACTAAGACCTGCCTATCGAAGAAGGGGCCAGTGAGCAAGCGAGGGAGGCGGGGCCAGGCGAGCCGGTGAATGGGGCAGGCCCCGGCGCGGAGGCGCAGAGGCAGGGGGCAGGGGAGGCAGGAGAAAGCCGGATGAGGCACGGCAAGCTCCTGTGATGACAGCGCGGGCTCCGGCTTCCGCCGCCGCGCGGGCCGCTCAGCCCTCCTCGATCTCCACCGCCCGGGAGGCCCGCGGCCCGGCACGACAGCGGCAGGCCCCTGGAGGCCCCCGCAGGCCGACGTCGACGCCGAAGTCTCTGGAGGCCTCCAGAAATCTCGTCGGGCCTCCATCCTGAGCCACTGTGGAATAAGCACACCCGGCATACGCGATAATGCGGACGAGCTGATCGTTTCTCCCAACCCCCAACCTCCCGACCCGATGATTGTCTGCCTGCTTGAGGCGCCCCTGGTCCAGACTCCTTCTGTTCCCAACAGCGCCCAGGGTGAAGTCGGGTCGGTCCTCCTACAGGGGGACTTTGAACGAAAACTTAAAAGCACGCCCCCAAAAATACTCCAAACACAATTCTTGTTTATAAGAATGCTGAAAAATCCTCCCCAGACTATTGTTCGACTATTCTTGAAGATTCCCCCTGTAGTTGAGCAGGGACCGACCGTCCCGGCATTCCTATAGTCATACCACGAAATGTTCTCAGAACCCAAAAGTGGTCTAAGAACAAAAACTATGTTCTTAGAACATGAAAACCCGATGTGGTAAAACAAGACAGTCCCGGCCAGAGATGTTCTGAGAACATGTCGTGGGAACCACCAACGGTTCTTCGTGAACGCTGTTTGGTGGAGGCGCGGGACGCTTCGCCACTGCTTGCCTGCAGAGGGCCGGGGACCTCGAACTCCGTCGCCCCTCGGCGGCGAAAAGCGGGGAGGCGGGCGCCCGAGGCCGCCGCGCCGGCGGCAGACACGGCGCGGGCCCCATAGAGCCCGCCGCGGGGGCGTCGGGTGGAGGCGCGGGGCGCGCGGGGGGGGGGGGGGCCCTGCGAGGCCGGGGGCCTTGGCTATATAGCCGCGGCCTGGGGGACCTGGGGGGCCACATGCGAACCCTACCCCCCGCGAAATGCTTAAGAAATCATGGGTTAAGAAATTCATAGTCTCAGAACTTGAATAAAAGCCCAACATGTCCATTAAAATCTTAAGATTTACACTGGAACGTTAAGAATAGTCGAGACTCTGGCCGAAAACTTGAGTTTTCTTAAGCATCGCCTGAGGTGTACCCCTACCTCCCCCGATTTCTGAGGGGGAGGGTGGGGTTCACTTCGCTCGGGAGCTCCCGAGCGAAGTGAACCCCACCCTCCCCCTCAGAGATCGGGGGAGGTAGGGGTAGGGTTCGCATGTGGCCCCCTAGGATCGTCTTCGGGGGCCCCGGCGGGGGGGGAGATACTGATGCATGTGGTCACCACGGGGCCCGAGCAGGTGCATGCCCAGAGGAGCAGAGCAAAAACAAAAAATGCACAAGCACCGATGTCTCTCCAGGTCCGCGCGGAATTCCTGGATCCGCGCTGGACCCCCTCTCTGGCGCGCGGAGAGCGCCAGGGGCGGCGCCAGAGGCGACGCTAGGGGGGTCCAACGCCGATCCAGCAAATCCCCGCGGACCTCCGAGACAGCATGTTTATGCCGTTTTGTGCGCCCTTACAAGAAATACAACATCGCCAGACAATCACCACCGGAGCCCTAGACCCCACTGTTCTGCGGCCGGGTCGATCTTTGACGGTCCCAGGGCCCCCGAAACCAGACGAGAACGCCCAGTGCGAAAAACTGCAGAGCCCAGATCTGAAGGTTCACCGCCTTCCGAGGTCCCCGGAAACTCGATGTCCCCAGGCGCTGACTCTGGATAAGTCCCCGCCCTGGACCTTTCCGGGGATCGCCATCGCTCGGCCGTGCATTCCCCGTGCATTGTTTCGGCTCCGCGCGCGTATGTTTCGTAAGATGATCGATCCAAGATGCTCTTCGATGACCCTCGCCGAAAAATCGGCTTCCTGCTGACCCGGGTCAATCCAGACCCGGGTCAGCAGGAAACCAAAAACTGCAATGCAGGAAAAAAAACTGCAACGCAGGTCTTCGCAAACCCGGGTCAGCCAATATGTGCGGCCGCCTCGCGGCCACGAGCGGCTCGCTGACCCGGGTCAGCCAGAGGGAGTCTTCGCAGGATCCTGCAGGATCTGGTGCCCTGGCTGACCCCCGTTTGCATTGACACCCGTCTCAAGGCTCCCGAAAAAAAATAATGCACACGTCCCTGGTGCAGTTTTCGGCTTCGCGCGTGCACTTATCGCAAGATGGGGAGGAGGAGGAGGAGGAGGAGGAGGAGGAGGAGGAGGAGGAGGAGGAGGAGGGGGAGGAGGAGGAGGGGTAGGAGGAGGGGGAGGAGGAGGAGGAGGAGGAGGAGGAGGAGGAGGAGGAGGAGGGCCCTTGCAGAGGAGAAAATGCACACGCGCGAGCGACGCCACGGGGCGAGCGGAGGCTCGAGGCGCGGCGGGGCTGCTCGAGCTCAGGCAGCTGCAGCATCTTCACGAGCTTGCCCAGGGACTCCGTGGCCAGGACGACCTCTCCCCGGGGGAGCGCCAACCCTGACTTCGGATCCGCCCTACTTTGGCTTTTTTTCAACTTAAAATTGCATCGGAAATCCACATATAAGGGCCGAAAAGTAGGGCGGAAATTGCTGCACCCAACATAAAATAGGGCGGAAATCCACAGAAACAGCAACAGAAAAGTAGGGCGGAAATTGGCATCAGCGGGGCTTGAAAAGTAAGGCGGAAATCCCAAGCCCCACTTACGAATTTCCCCAAAGTAGGGCGGATCTGGAGTCAGGGAACGGCGCGGGAAGCCGCGCCCGCTGATCTCGCCATGGCTCAGACGTGCACTCCCCGTGCATGGTTCGTTGGCGCGCCTGTTTCCCAGATCTCCTCGCGCTGTGGACAAAAAAAAACGCCACGGGAGGTTTCTCGCTACTTTCGGCCAACGGTGGCCCTTCCCGGGCCTCGGGACCGTCAAACACTGATTCGGGATGAAAAACTGGTCCCGGGGAAGGGGTCCAGACCTCTGGGGGTCGACGTTGTGACAATTACGCTACCGAGGAACCCCACATACTGATTTTTAATCTTATGCGTTTGCTTGTCATTATCATATTTGCGCAATCCTGCGTTCTAAACCCTCGTCGCGAATCGTCGTCGTACTTGTCGTACTCGTCGTCGTACTCGTCGCACTCGTCGTCGTACTCGTTGCCGTTCTATCGTCTTACTCGTCATCGCACTCGTCTTCGCATTCGTCGTCGTGCTCGTCGCACTCGTCGTCGCACTCGTCGTCGTCCTACTCGTTGTGCTCGTAATGCTCGTCGTACTCGTCGCCGCACTCGTGGTCATCGTCGTCGTCGTCGTCGTCGTCCTCCTCCTCCTCCTCCTCCTCCTCCTCCTCCTCCTCGCCCCACCCAATCCTCTCAACTCCTCCGCACTCCTCTCAATTCCTCCGCACTTCCCTCAACTCCTCCGCACCCCTCCCAACTCATCCTCTCACCTCCTTCTGTACTCTTTCTGCACTCCTCCGCACTCCTCTCAACTCCTCCTCCCAACTCCTCCACACTCGTTTCATTCACCTCGGCGCCCATCTCGAGCATTGATTTCTTGAGCTGCTCGCACGGCGGTGGCAAAATAAAAAAACAAAAAAAAGCGCGGCCATGAGTGAGCGCACTTGGCGCCATGAACGGGGCCGTACCTTTTTGACAAAAGTCACTAGCTAGTCGCCCGCGATTCACATATCGCGCGCCCTGAAAGCCACATGAAGCCAGGTGTCTACAATTCGTGAGATTTGTAAGGCGATGATTTGATGATAATGATGTGATATGTGAATGATGATTGATGATAAGATGATATGATGAGGGCGCCCCCCTGCTTGCGTACCCCTTGCCTCAAGATACTAGTGACAGCGCCTACGCCCGGGTAGACGCCCGCCCCTGCCACGCCCCCTTGGTGACTCCTACAACCACGCCTGCCATGCCTGGACGACCGGCGCGTATAGAGACCGCAGCGAGAGACCACCCCCTGCGCACCCCCTATGGTGTCGAGAAAGTACCACGCCTGCTATGCCTGGACGAATGCACGTATAGAGACCGCAGCGAGAGACCACCCCCTGCGCACCCCCTATGGTGTCGAGAAAGTGCCACGCCTGCTATGCCTGGACGACCGGCGCGTATAGAGACCGCAGCGAGAGACCACCCCCGGCGCACCCCCTGTGGTGTCGAGAAAGTGCCACGCCTGCTATGCCTGGACGACCGGCGCGTATAGAGACCGCAGCGAGAGACCACCCCCTGCGCACCCCCTATGGTGTCGAGAAAGTGCCACGCCTTCTATGCCTGGACGACCGGCGCGTATAGAGACCGCAGCGAGAGACCACCCCCTGCGCACCCCCTATGGTGTCGAGAAAGTGCCACGCCTCTAGTGCCTGGACGTCTGGGGCGTTTAGAGACCGCGGTGAGAGACCACCCCCGCGCACCCACCCTGTGGGGTCCAGGAATGCCACGCCAAAGCTAATGCCTATGGGACGACTGGGGCGTATAGAACCGCGGGGAGAGACCACCCCCTGCGCACGAACACCCTGTGGTGTCAAAAGTGCCACGCCCTGCGATGCCTGACACTGGGCGTATAGAACCGCGGTGAAGACCACCCCCTGCGCCCCCCTGGTTCCGAGAAAGTGCCACGCCTGCATGCTGGACACTGGGGCGTAAAAGAGACCGCCGTGAGAGACCACCCCCTGCGCACCCCCTGTGGTGTCGAGAAAGTGCCACGCCTGCCCATGCCTGGACGACTGGGGCTATAGAGAACCGCGGTGAGAGACCACCCCCTGCGCAACCCCCTGTGGTGTCGAGAAAGTGCCACGCCTGCTAAATCCTGACGACTGGGGCGTTAATAAAAATAGCGGCCGAGCTGAGAGACCACCCCCTGCGCACCCCCTGTGGTGTCGAGAAAGTGCCACGCCTGCTAGCCTTTGCGCCAGTGTCGTGGATAGCGGCCGAGCTGAGAGACCGCCCCCTGCGCACCCCCTGTGGTGTCGAGAAAGTGCCACGCCTGCTAGCCTTTGCGCCAGTGTCGTGGATAGCGGCCGAGCTGAGAGACCACCCCCTGCGCACCCCCTGTGGTGTCGAGAAAGTGCCACGCCTGCTAGGCTTTGCGCCAGTGTCGTGGATAGCGACCGAGCTGAGAGACCCCCCCCTGCGCACCCCCTGTGGTGTCGAGGAAGTGCCACGCCTGCTGGCCGAGACTACTGCGCGTATAGAACCGCGGTGAGAGACCACCCCCTGAGCCACCCCCCTGGTGTCGAAAAGTGCCACGCCTGCCTATGCCTGGCGACTGGGGCGCTTAGAGACCGCGGGAAAGACCCCCCCTGCGCACCCCCCGAGGTGTCGAGAAAGTGCCCACGCCTCGATGCCTGGGACACGGGGCGAATAGAGAACCGCGGGAGAGACCACCCCCTGCGCACCCCCTGTGGTGTCGAGAAAGTGCCACGCCTGCTATGCCTGGACGACTGGGGCGTATAGAGACCGCGGGGAGAGACCACCCCCTGCGCACCCCCTGTGGTGTCGAGAAAGTGCCACGCCTGCTATGCCTGGACGACTGGGGCGTATAGAGACCGCGGTGAGAGACCACCCCCTGCGCACCCCCTGTGGTGTCGAGAAAGTGCCACGCCTGCTATGCCTGGACGACTGGGGCGTATAGATACCGCGGCGAGAGACCACCCCCTGCGCACCCCCTGTGGTGTCGAGAAAGTGCCACGCCTGCTATGCCTGGACGACTGGGGCGTATAGAGACCGCGGTGAGAGACCACCCCCTGCGCACCCCCTGTGGTGTCGAGAAAGTGCCACGACTGCTATGCCTGGACGACTGGGGCGTATAGAGACCGCGGTGAGAGACCACCCCTGCGCACCCCTGTGGCGTCGAGAAAGTGCCACGCCTGCTATGCCTGGACGACTGGGGCGTATAGACACAGCGGTGAGAGACCACCCCCTGCGCACCCCCTGTGGTGTCGAGAAAGTGCCACGCCTGCTATGCCTGGACGACTGGGGCGTATAGAGACCGCGGTGAGAGACCACCCCCTGCGCACCCCCTGTGGTGTCGAGAAAGTGCCACGCCTGCTATGCCTGGACGACTGGGGCGTATAGAGACCGCGGTGAGAGACCACCCGTGCTGTGCTGCTGTGTTGTGCTGTGCTGCGCTGTGTGAGAAGGAGAGAGGAGGTGAGGTGAGTGTCGCGGGTGCGGCGCGGCAGTGAAGAAAACCAGAACCCCACGAAACATGTGGGGAAAAATCACGACGTCGGGGGTCTGGCTGTTTTGCTCGATGATCCAGGATGCTCCTTGATGGCCCTCGCCGAGAAAGACATGCACACGTCCGAGCGATGCCAAGAGATCTAAGCGTCGCAATTATCTCACAACGGACTTCGTGGCCAGGACGACCTATCTTCGGGGGAGCGCCAACGGCGCGGGAAGCCGCACCCGCAGATCTCGCCATCGCTCAGACGTGCATTCCCCGTGTATTGTTCGTTTGCGTGCCTGTTTCCGAGACCTCCTCGCGCTGCGAAAAAAACGTCGGGAAGTTTTTCTGTATTTTCGGCCTCCAGGGGCCCTTCCCTGCCTTCGGAACCGTCAAACATAACATTGATTCGGGATGGAAAACTGGAGTCGACGTTGTGAACAAAAAAATCACGACGCCGGGAGTCTTTGCTCAATGACCCAGGGATGCTCCCTGATGGCCCTCGCCGAGAAAGAAAGGGCGCACGTCCGAACGATGCCGAAAGAGATCCGGGCGCTGCATTTCCTTTCACAGAGGCGTCCTCCTCCTCCTCCTCCTCCTCCTCCTCCTCCTCCTCCTCCTCCTCCTCCTCCTCCTCCCCCTCCTCCTCCTCCTCCTCTTCCTCTCTTTCTTTGCAGGCCCTGGGACGCAGAAAGATGGAGTCTTCTCTTCCTCCTCCTCCTCCTCCTCCTCCGCCTCCTCCTCCTCCTCCTCCTCCTCCTCTTCCTCTCTTTCTTTGCAGGAAATGACGCAGAAAGATGGGGTCTGGAGCTCCAGTCGTGATCTCTCGCGGTGCCGCAGCGCTTCCTCGCGGCGTCGGACTCCGGGGCAGGCCGCCGGAGCTCCGACGCTCCTGCCCACGGCGATCGACGACCCGGGCACGCCGGGGGACTCCTGGCGGGCAAAAACGGAGGCGTCACGAGAGCGGAGGCGAACGAAAACGGGAGGCGGGCAAGAAGCGGGAGGCGAACACGAAAGCGGGAGGCGAAGCAAGTCTTTGGGCGATCCCCACCCAAGCCTTCGGCGTTTGTCCCCAACGGTGCGAGCGCCTACGGCAGGTTCGTGTCGTGCCGACCCTGGCGTTGGTTTTTGACACCGCGCTGGATCGTTCAACCTTGAACGATCGGCCGCTGCCGCAACGTCCGATCGAGCCACATCGAGCGATTCTGGGTCGCCGGCGGCGTTCAACCTTGAACGTCCGCGCTGGGGTCGCCGCTGGTCGACACGACGCAAACCTATCGTACTGGAACGACGATCGATCGACGCATCTGGGCGCGCTGGGGGACTCCTTGGACCCTCATGGAGGCCTCCCAGGGCCGCAGGGGCAGGCCGGGATCGGAGCCGCAGCTGCCGCCCGCGACGCCTGGCTTCGCGAGGAGGAGGAGGAGGAGGAGGAGGAGGAGGAGGAGGAGGAGGAGGAGGAGGAGGAGGAGGAGGAGGAGGGAGGGGGAGGAGGAGGAGGGAGGAGGGGAGGAGGAGGAGGAGGAGGAGGAGGGGGGAGGGAGGAGAGGGGAGGAGGAGAGGGGAGGAGGAGGAGGGGGGGGGCCAGGATCCGAGCCGCAACTGTCACATGCGACGCCTGACTTCGCGGGCCGCGCCCGGCGATGCCAGACGCACGGGTAGACTCGCGCCCTCGCGCCGCCGCCCTGGAGAGGAGAGAGCAGTTGCCGTCCAGGCCGCGAGGCGCGAAGCGCGAGTGTGCTGCGTCACCGTTCGTAGTGACAGGATGCGGCCTTCTCGCCCCCCCCTCCCAACAATGCCCCGCCTCCTCCTCCTCCTCCTCCTCCTCCTCCTCCGCCTCCTCCTTCCGCCCCCCCTGCAGGACGGCCGACGCGGTGACGGCCCTGGGGGGGATGCAGAGACTGTCCCGCATGACCCTGCATGGGCACGTCCAGGGAAGAATGCTTTGTCGTGCGCGTGGTGTTCCCCCGCGGGGGCGTCTGAGCGTCTGACCTTTCCTCCTCGTTTTCCCTAAGGATATGCCCCGAGCCTCCTTCTTCGACCTCAGCAAGAAATCCTCCACCTTGTCCTTGCCCCCGCCTGGGTTCGCCTCGCCCCACGAGGACGTGTAGGCCCACTCATCCCCGGTGCGCTTGTGCCTCTCGAACTCCTCCCAGGCGTCGACGAAGTCGTCCGAGTCGGCGGGCAGGAAGTCCGAGTTCATGATCCGAACCCAGAGCTTCTCGGACTGGAACAGCGGGTGGAAGATGCTGGAGCACCCCAGGTAGTTTCGTATCTCGGAGGCCCAGAGGCCGCCGACTCATCCCCAGCCCTCCCGCTCGTGCTCTCGACCGCATCCCTGGGACCCATTCGTCTTCCGGGCTCGTTTGCTGATGGCCCCAGAGCCCCGAAGAAAGCTGTCCCCAGAAACCCAAGCCATGACCCGCAAGCAGCGCCTGTCGCGACTTTCCGAGAACGCGCGAGGTCTGGGTCCAGGCTGATCCACGGCACGATCCTGATCCTGGCGCGCCCAGCCCGACGCGACCCTGGGCGCGGAGCAAGACCCCCCCGCCGCCGATCGGCGACGCAGTCCTGGTTGATCGACGGGAAGGAGTTCTAACCTCTCGTGGTGCCGCAGAGTCAACGGCGATCATGCGCCCGCCCCCCGAGCCCTCGGGAGATCCTCCCAGGGTATCTCGGAGGGTCCTCGGGCTGGAGGTTCCTCGGGAGGCGTTGTTCCGCATTGCTTCGCGTTGCCTTTCCTTTGTTCGCCATGCCATGCCCTTACATGCTATACGGGTTACGTGCTGTGCTGTACGCTGCTATGCGATACTTTGTGATGTAACGCTGTGCTGCGTCATTATATCACACGGCATGCTAGGTTATGGTATGCGATGATATGCCACCCGATGCTGTGCTGCCCGTTGCTAAGTTTTGAAGTCCTATATATACACAACTACACATAGGTGCAACCCAAAATGATGATATTCAACGTTATGCAAACAATGGCAATGTACGTTATACCATGCAGTGCGAGTCCGTGCAATTCACCCCAAATGATATTGCAATGATGCACTCTGCCATGTAATGCCGTGCAACACAACTCTATCCCATGCTATGCAATGGACTTCAATGCGCGGCTTAAACATGCAAGTCATGCAACGACATCCTGCGGCATGCTGTGCACCGCTACGTACGCAACGCTGGCATGACACATCGTTGTGCGAAATGCAGCACACAGGTGATGGCATAAGTTACTGTGACATGTCATGACATGTACATGCACTTAACGCAACACAGTGAGCCCCTTCAACCGATCTGGCATGCAATGCCACGTCGGGCTCTGAAATACTGTGCCGTGCTATGCTGCGCTGATGTGCTCACATGTACACAATGCTGTCCTGTCGGAATGACCGGTGGCCTCCATTCTACGAAGTGAAATGCAATGCATCGTGGCTTAAATCCGCCGACCCGTCGGTGTGTGTGAGACGCTGTCGTCTTCGCCGTCGTTGTCGTCCTCGTCTTCGTCTTCGTCGTCGCCAGTCCCAAGAGAAAATGGAATGAATCGAGAACAGAAACCTCGTAGTAGTTAAGTCGATCCCCTCCTCATTTTCCCCTCCCTGACGGGGGGGGGAGGTACGGGAGGGGGGTAGGGGAGGTTACGGGGGGAGTAGACCGCCTGGTCAACGTCCTCGCGCTTTTGAAGGCAGCGCCAACCGATGCGGCAAGCTTGGACACCCTCAACTTGCCACTTGCAGCGCACAGGCGTGAAAGCGTGATACCAGAGAAGGAGGACGACGAACACAAGGTCGAAATTTGTTTCAAGGGATACTGGTCTCCTCACTCTTCGTGGTCGTCGCCAACCTGATCGGCGTCCTCGCGTTCATGGCTTCTCGTCCTGGCGCCTCCTGCTGATCAGGGGCCATTTGTTTGTTCAAAGTGCTCCTGCCGATCCATCGGTGGCAGTGCCGATCCTCAAGTCCCGGCGGACTCGTCTGCGGCCGCTGCACTGCTTTCGACGCTCGCAGAGCTCGCCGACTCGAAATTGTCGCATCGCGGTATGATAGGCTTCTTCTGGATCCAGAAGCACGGGAAAAGGCACGGGCTCGAACGAAGGCCGCGGGTGCGTCAGGGCGCGCAGGCTCGGCGCGCTAGCCTGCCGCACGTCGATCGGGACTGCTCTTCGCGCGGTCTGGTCGATTCGAGTCTTGGGCCCCGCCCTCTCGCTGTTCCGTCGTTTTGCTTGTTGTTCGACCTTATCACCTGGATGAGGAGTCTCGTATACAGGCACCTGCGCGTTTAGGTGCACAACCATGGCATGCTGTCGCCCACACTCCGTTCGTTCGCCTTGAGTCTGCTATGTATCGTTCCTCCTCCTCCTCCTCCTCATTCTCAGCCGCCGCCGCATGCTCCCTCCTTCTTCTTTTTCCTCCTCCTCCGCTCCTTTTCTTTATGGATAACTCCTCCCTGTCGCACCCCGACGCCGGTCGAAAGGGCGGGACAGGAGTTTCGCCCGAGACTCCCTCACCATCTATGACCCTGAAGCTTCAAAGGCGACAACCGTTTCACACATGGAGGGCGGGCATTGTCAGCATGTAGCTCTCGCCTTAGCGCCGCGCGCATATGTTGTAAGCATTCGCAAGGGCTCGACGGCTCGAGGGCGGGTGGTGTTCCAAATGTGGCTCTCGCCTTAGCGCCGCGCACATGGCTCTCGCCTTAGCGCCGCGCACATTCGTGTTTAACGCTTGCAAGAGCTTCACGGATTGAGGGCGGGGGGTTTTCAACATGTGGCTCTCGCCTCAGCGCCGCGCACATGTGCTTTAAACACTTGCAAGAGCTTTACGGCTGAAGGGCGGGTGGTTTTCAACATTTGGCTCTCGCCTTAGCGCCGCGCACTTTCTATTCTAAAGTTTGCAAGAATTTGGTTCCCACAGTCAACGTACCAGAAATAATGCGTTGGAAAGACTCAGGATTCTGAGGGTGCAACAGTTACGTTGGTTCGCGGTGTCACAAGTCCCAGGACATGGCGTTCGGGCACGACTCTGAATTGTCAAGACGCAACAGTTGTTGATCAGAGGCCGTTGGAGTCCCGAGAATCGCGTTTTTGCTTGCGTCAGGGTCTTCAAGCGGCTGTCTTCCACCTGTGAAGAGGGAGCTTGGAGGGAGGGCTTCTTCCAACATCGTTGATGACTCTTGGGTTTGCACTGGTCCTCCTGCTCCTCCTCCTCCTCCTGCTCCTCCTCCTCCTCCTTCGCGCATCCCCGCGCACGCACACCCACGTTTGAGACGAGACGGGAACAAGGACAAAGAGGAGGAGGAGGAGGAGGAGGAGGAGGAGGAGGAGGAGGAGGAGGAGGAGAGAAGGGGGAGAAGAGAAGACGAGGATGAAGTGGGAGGAAGGAGGGAACAGGCAGGAGGAAGGTGGGGGAGAAGGGCGAGAATATGGAGAGGGAGGAGATAGGGGCGAAAAGAGAAGGGAGGACGAGAGGGGAGTGGGGGAGAGGGAGGTAGGAGGTGGGAGGAGGAGGATGAGGAGGAGGAGGAAGAGGAGGAGGAGGAGGAGGAGAAGAAGCAGAGAGTAGAAAGGCCAATGACGTCCGACGACCGACGAGCGGGCCCTCCTGAGCCCGCCGCGATCAAAGGGCTGGCGGCGCACCCGTCCACGAATCCAGAACCCGCGCTGCCCCCCACCGTCTGCTGCACGTTGCCCCCGGCCACCCCCCTGCAGTCCCTGGTCTCCTTGTCCCAGTTGGCGACGAGGTACCTCGGCAGGAAGTAGCGAGCGATAGAGAGGCGCGTCCAAGCTGCCCGAACGCCCTTCAGAGAACTTCGCACCACCTACTTCTTGGTGGGGTGCTGGCCCTTCGCTGACCGAGCGAGCTTCGATCGCTGGTTAGCTCGGGTCTTGGGCTCACGCGAGCGCCCTTTTACAAGCTACTCGAAGATTCCTCGGCAGGATGCAGGAGGGAGGGGGGAGGAGGAGGAGGAGGAGGAGGAGGAGGAGGAGGAGGAGGAGGAGGAGGAGGTGGAGGAGGAGGAAGAGAAGGAGGAGGAGGAGGAGGAGGAGGAGGAGGAGGAGGGACGGGAAGGAGCGGGAGGATGGAGGGGGGGACGGGCCTGGAGGCGCAGAAGAACGGGGCGGTGAGTAAGGAGGGAGCCTCGACAGGACCAGATCGGATCGGATCGGGCGTCAACGACACTGAAATTTCGGTGGCAACTCATGGGAGCCTCCCACACCATCTTGTCGGCTCTTGCGGAACGACGCTGATCGACGCTAGTCGACGCGAATCGACGTTTGAAATCGACGCCAACCGACGCTGAACGACGCTGAATCGACGCTATCTCATCGACTCCCAGACGCTACTCGACGCTAAAGACGAAATCGAGAGGATACACGAAGCTCCCATGATTAAAGGGAATTTAGGACACACAAATAAATACACACAAATAAAAATAGTCCCAATATTTTCCCATATTTTCTGGGTTCTTGTCTTCCCCCCCACTTCCCATATTTTCCTATATTTTCCTGGGAATCGCCGATTAATTGTGTCTGTGTGTTTCTTTCCCTCCTGAACACGAAGCTCCCATGATTTTCCACCGAAGGAAGTCCAGCCCTTCTTGTTGCCAGCCGCGAACGCCCCGCCCAGCCGGGGGGGCCGGGCGGGCGAGGAGGAGGGCCCCCCCATCGGGCGCCGGGAGAGCTCGGGGATCCAGGCCCGAGGCCGTGGCCGAGACAGAGGCAAGGAGGAGGGAGGAGGGAGGGAGTCAGGAGGGAGGGAGAATTTTGGACTGCGACGCTGATGAAGCACAGAGCCTGTCAGCCAGGGAGGGAGGCAGGAGGGAGGAGGGAGGAGGGAGGGAGAGAGGAGGGAGGAGGACGAGGTACCCATACCAACGCCCATCCCTCGTGGAGACGGCTGGATTCGCCCCGACGTCCTTGGAAGAACGAGACAGAGGCAAGGATCGGCGGCGAGCGAGGGGGGGGAACGAAAAGGAGAAGGCCTTCTCAGAAGGCGGCGGAACCTCTCGCAAGCCCTCGCGCCTTCTGAGAGGTGTTCCGCGTCTTCGGGGCAGGCTCAGAAAACTTATCAGAAGGCCAGGGGGGTTCCGAGCCTTCTCAGAAGCCCTCGTCCTTCCCATTCCCCCCCTTCGCTCGCCGGCGAAAGGAAGAAGGAGGGAAGGAGTCAGGGGAGGACGAGGTGCCGATACCGATGCCCCTCCCTCGTGGAAACGTCCGGATTCGCCCCAGCGCCCTGGCCAGAACGCCCCCCGTGCGAGGTGCGCGGAGGAGCGGCATCAGTACTTGTTCCAGTCTTCCAAGGAGGGGGGAACTGGGAGGAAGGAGGGGAAGGGAAGGAGGATGAGGGGCGGCGGAAAGAGAGGCGCAGAAGAAAGGGGAACGGGGTGAGGAGGAGGCGGAGGAGGAGGAGGAGGAGAAGATAGAGGAATAGGAGGAGGAGGAGGAGGAGTAGGAGGAGGAAAGGGAAGAGGATGAGGAGGAGGACGCGGGGGAGGAGGAGGAGGAGCGCAGCGTAGGAGGGGGCGAGAGTCTCCCTCACGCTCAGAGGCCCCTCAGCCCCGAGCAGGAAGCAACCGCGGCGGCCTGGACGTACGGCCCGGAGCAGGGAGGAGGAGGAGGAGGAGGAGGAGGAGGAGGAGGAGGAGGAGGAGCAGGGAGGAGGAGGCAGGAGCAAGGGAACAGGACGAAAGAGAGAGAATTTTGTTTGACAGGACCTCGGGATGAGTAAACAAGGCGCAAGCTCCCGCAAACAAGCACCTCGACTGTAAGGGACTGCCGCCACAGGCTACCTCCTTTGAGGTCCGCGGCGGCAGTCAGTCGGTGCCCTCGGGTGCGGTTGGGGAGCGGAGAGCTGGCAGCCGCAGCGCGAGCCTCTAAGAGGCGGAACGCTTCCGAAACACACGACAAAACACAGCAGCTCGGATACCGCACCAGCGGGCCACGGCTGCACGTAACAAAACACCTGTAAGTGAAAGAAACCAGCGAAGAGAGGGCCAGGCCCAGGCAGCCTGGCCTCTGCGACGCCGACCGCCAACAACAACCTCCACATATCACCATCACAAACAGAAGCGTCAGCCTCGCTGTCATCAGCACTGTCATCGTCATCGTAATCAGCATCGTCATCGTCAGCATCAGCATCAGCATCAGCATCAGCATCCGCATCATCATCATCATCATCATCATCATCATCATCATCATCATCATCATCATCATCATCATCATCATCATCATCATCATCATCATCATCAGCATCATCATCATCATCATCCGCTCATCAGCATCATCTTCATCATCACCACAAGCATCATAATCAGCAGCATCAGTAACATCATCATGATCAACACCATCACCACCAATATCATGATCAGCACCGTCACCATATCAACACCATCACCATGAAAAGCACCGTCAACCACCATCACCAGCATCACCACCATCATAAGCATCAGCATCAGCATCAGCATCAGCATGATCACCACCATCATCACCACCACTATCATCATCAGCATCAACATCATCATCAGCATCATCATCATTACCAGTAGCGCCATCATTATCATCATAATCACCCTCATCATCATCACCAGCATCACCATTATCTTCACAATCACAATCACGATCATCATCTTCATCACCGTCATCACCGCCACCATCACCATTACGAATCACCCTCATCATCACCAGTGTCATTTACACGCTGGCCACTAGCGATCAGGGTGCATTCGCCTTACCTTCGGATAGTGTTGATATCGCGTAATGGCGTGACCACGTGCGTAGCAAGGTTAGGTCGGATTGATAATATGCGGGGGCCAATTTCAAGCGCGTGCCAAAAAGGACGGCGTGAGTGCAGAGTGAGCCCGCGTGCAGCTGGAGGGCGGCGACCTCATCGTAGAGGTCACGCATGATGGATGGCCCACGCCCCACCTTGCCAGGGTGGACGCTTTCGACGCGGCCCGTCTCATCCAAGGCGACAGCCCACTCGGCAGCCGAGGGCGCCGCGGAGTTGTTGTCAAACACGAGGGTGGTGCTGATGCTGCGCGGCGTGCATCCGTGCCGACGGTGTGCCCAGACGCACATCAGGAGTTTGGAGGAGGAGGAGGAGGAGGAGGAGGAGGAGGAGGAGGAGGAGGAGGAGGAGGTGATCTGGAGGTGGCCGTGCAAGGGAGCACGGCCCGGCCAATGCGGATGTACGTCTGGCGTTACATGCAGAAAGGGCGCAGCACCGCGACGAGGTCCAAGGAGCAACCCACACGGCAGGGGGAGGCAGGAAGTCCGTGACGAGGTCGTCGAAACCGCTCTGGCAGTCGAGGACCACCCCGGCGAGGGGAATATGGCGGCGTGGCGGGCGCACCTGATCTGGATGGCGAGCCGCGTGCTGACGTCGTCAATGGTGGCTTCCGGCAACGCCCCGAAACTGGCGCTGCGAGTTCACCAAGCACGCCAGGGCGCCAGCGCCAAGGGTAATCCGCGGCGCCTCCCTCCCATATGTATATCCACACCGGCGTAGCGGAGAGCAGCCGTTGGCGAGTGGGCAGTACTAGTGTGGCCTTGCTGGAGCAGGAATTGGGGATACAATTGTCGGGAGCGGCCAAGAGGGGGGTGTCCAAGAGGGGGGGGTGCAAATCATGACCGGCGGCATGTGCGCGGCCCAGCGGGGGGGCCAGGGACGTAATGAAATAAGAAGAGGCGCCATGAAATCTGGGGAAAAATCATGGCCCGCGCCATGATATCCACCCCCCCCTAGTCATCACCCCCCTCTTTTCCGCTCCCGAAATTGGCACGTCGACGAAGAATCGGCCTGCCACCAGGTTCCCCACGGAAACTTCCACGGACCAAGACCAGCTCTGGGGCAACGCAGGACCCCGACGAAGAAGCTGCCCCAAGAGTTCTTCCAGCAAGAAATCTCGTCGTATATGTGTCTACTGTATGGACGAGGGGCCGAAGGAGGACGGCGGCGAGCTGAATGGCGCGCCTGGTCAGCGCGAGGACGCGCAAGACCCGCTCGGGCAAGGCCCCGGGCCCCCCTGGTCGTCCACCAGTCCGTGACGCCCGCCCGGAGGGAGTTGAGGTTGCGTCGTCGTCGTCGCCGCCGCCGTGGTCGTCGTCGTCGAGTTGAAACGGGCGAGGACGTCGTCGTCGTAGAGCTGATGCGGACGAGCGCGTCGTCGTCGTCGACTTGAAGCAGATAATGCGTCGTTGCCGAGAGCGAAGCTACGGGCATCGAAGCGCGTATGGAGCTCTGCCGCGCACTCGCGGCGGAAGGCCTCCCCAAGTGGGCTGGTCCTCGCTGGCGCGGTCGCCAGCTCCAGCTGTGCACCACCCAGGACAATCTTCCATGTGTCGATCAAGACCTGGAGAGAGAAAGAGAGAAGCAGACACATACAGTACATATATCCGCCGATCCGGCGTGTGAGTTGAAGGGGGGGGTGGGCCGGGGTGGCTCTGCCGGGGTAGGGAGGGGGGGGGTCTTCCACAGATTGGGTTCGGTTGGTCGGGGTTCGGTTGGCCAAAACGGACCCAAACGTTGCCAAGAAGCCGCCAAGACGGGCCAAGACGTTTCTGGATCGCCCAAAAATCGATCCAAGACGCCGAACATGAACCCAAGACAGCCCAAGAGGCCGCCAAGACGCCCCCAGAGGCCCCCAAGAGGTCTTCCAAAAGGGCCCCGACCGGCCAAAATCATCGATTTCCCTGAGAAAACCTACATTTTTAGCATGTTCGCCTCTTGGGCCTTCACAGTGTCCAAAACGACTCAAGGGGCCCTCAAAAAGGCTCCAAGACGGCCTAAGAAGGGCTTACGCAGGCCCAGGAGGCCCCCAAGACGGCGCAAGAGGGCTCCAGGACGGGCCCAAGAGGCGCCCAAAAGGGCTCCAAGACGGCCCAAGAAGGGCCCAAGACGGCCCAGGAGGCCCCCAGGAGGC